CATGTTCCTTTACCTGTTGGGTATTTCTCTGCCTTTTCATCTTGTTTAGATTGCTGTGTCTGGAGTGGGCTTTCTATATTCTTGTGGTCTGTCGTTCCTTTTTATTGTGGAGGTTTCACCCAGTGGGTGGGGTTGGATGATTGGTTTGTCAGGGTTTCCTGGTTAGGGAAGCTTGTGTCAGCGTTCTGGTGTGTGGAATTGGATTTCTTCTCTCTGGAGTGCAGTGGATTGTCCAGTAATGAGTTTTGCGATGGGTCTTTGTGTTAGGTGTGACTTTGGACAGCCTGTGTCAACACTTTATTTTAAAATAGGCTTTGTGTCAGATGATTTTGCCCGACTGTAGGCTAATATATCTGTCCCGGGAAAGTTTAAGGTATGCTGGGCAGAACTATGATGTTTGGTAAGTTAGGTGTACAGTATACATTTTTTGACTTACTGTATGTCTAACTTACAATAGGATTATCAGAATGTAACCTCACTGTAAATCAAGGAAGACCTGTAAATAGATTCCCCCTTTTTTCAATAACCCAGAACTCCTAATTAAGATCACTTGACAGAGTGCCAGAACACTGAAAATTCTTGAGAACTAATTTTGCATCATAAGAATATTCATTTAAACAATTATCAACTGGTATCAAATTGCTAGGGCAGGAAGCTAACACCTTTTAAGGGATTTAAAATTCCAAAACATTCCCACTACACCTTGAGATGAACTTACAAAAGAATAGTTTTATAAAAGAGTAGTTATATTCTGTTTATATTCTCCCTGAATTCAGATGTTGACATCCTAAAGCCCCAAAACTTATATATTAGGAGGTGCGGCCTTTGAGAGGTTCTCAGGTCATGAGGGTGCAGACTTCATGAATGGGATTAGTGTTCTCATAAAACAGACCCCACAGAGACCCTTCCACCTTGTGAAAAAAGCAAGAAAGCGCTGGTGTTGAACCAGTAAGAGGACTTGCAGAAGAATCCAACGTGCTGGTGCCTTGATCTTGGACTTCCCAGCCCCCAGTGCTGTGAGAAATAAACTTCTATGGTTTATAAGTGTAAAATAAAAGGAGAATAGTTATTTTTTATAGCTATTATAAAAGAATAGCTGGATCTGGCAAGATGTTTCTGGTGTTTCTTGCAAGATGGAACAAGTTAAGTTTACCCATTCAGGTGGCTGAAGCATTTCACCAATATTTGTGGAAAAAATTTTTACTTGTCTTTAATAGATAATCTTATGGAGGCTGTGGACAAAATCTGAAGAAACGGAGCTTACAGAAATATCAAATAGCAATTTGTTTTTTTAAAAAAATCTCTCATTTTTTTTGTTCTTTCCCAGTTTCATGTTTGCTTTAGCCAACATTTATCTTTTTGGATGCTTACATTTCAAAGACATGGTAAGGTAAGTATTTCCAAGGGACTAAGAAAGAATTTCGAAAAAGGAACTCAGAGGCATATTTGCCTATTAACAGAAATATAGGATTATTACCACAATGTTTTTCTTTTCTTTAATGGTTGGGTAAGATAGTTCAATAATTTTTTTTTTTCTATAGTACCTGCCCCAAATACGGGAAGGTCTGGACCTGGTGGGGTCAGCTTACAGAGGAGGGGACAGTCTATCAAGCCTTTCTATGCATTTTCTTGACCTTCAAAACTATTTCCTCACTATCAATATTTCCATACGTTTCACACCAACTTGAGTGCCATCTGCAGTTCTTGACATTTGGTTCTCTGATTTTCCCCTCCTAAACATGTTAAGGAAGTGTTTTGTATATATACAGTCAAGGTGTTCTGTATATATTTCTCTCTTCTTTCTTTTCTTCTTTCTTTCTTTCTTTAACCTGATCTTCCTATAGGCACCAAGAGGACATTTGTTTAAGATTAGAGCTCTCTTAAAAATCCTTTCAGCAGGCTTCCCTAGTGATTCAGTGGTAAAGAATCCGCCTTCCAATGCAGGAGACATGGGTTTGATCCCTGATCCAGGAAGATCCCATATGCTCCAGAGCAGCTAAGCCTGTGGACCACAATGACTGAGCCCATCTTCTTGAGCCTAGGACCTGCAGTACCGAGCCCGTGCATCCCGACTACTGAAGCCTGTGCGCCCTAGGGCCTGTGGTCCAGGACAAGAGGAGCTGCCACAACAAGAATGAGAAGCCCACACACTTGAGAGTAGCACTTTCTCTGCACAACTAGAGAAAAGCTCGCGCAGCAGTGAAGACCCAGGACAGCCAGAAATAAAATAAATTAATTAAAAGAAATCCTTTTAATGAGATTACCCCTGAGTTGGCAGACAAACACCTGGTTACTCCTGTGAGTATATCTGAGACCAATCTTGGGACATTTTTAACCCCATCCTACCTCTGAAGAATTTTGATGAATGTAAATACCAAACATGAATATACATATTTTAATTTTTTAATTAAACACTTACTATATGATTTATGAAAAAAAAAATCCTTTTAGAGACCCCCCTGGTGGTAAAGGAGTTAAGAACCCTGCCAACGCAGGGGGCATGGGTTTGATCTCTGATCTGGTAAGATTCCACATGCCGTGGGGCAACTAAGCCCATGTGCCCCAACTACTGAGTCCATGCTCCCCAACTCTGGAACCTGGGAGCCTGGATGTAGCCCATGCTCAGCAACAAGAGAAACCCCCGCAATGAGTTCACCCACTGCAACTAGAGAGCAGCCCCCGCTAGCAGCAACTAGAGAAAGCCTGCATACGGCAACAAAGACTCAGAGCAGCCATAAATAAATAAGTTAATAAACAAATAAAATGTAAAAAATCTTTTAGGTGTAAAAGTCCAAATCTTCAACATATCTCTTTCAGTTCTGACTCCAACCAGTGCGTATTTTTTACGGCTTAAAACCACTATTAGGGTTTACCCATGGACACAAGTGGTGTTCTCTAAGAAATGCAGCCTTCTCAAGATGCAGAGCCTCTGCAGAGAAAGCCTAAGAAAGCAAAGACCTTCCTTGTCTCAGGTGACAAATAAACCTCTATCTCCCACAAAGTGAGACATCTTAAATCACTGACCTCCTAACCCGTGTTATCAGAAAAGTGATGATGCTATGAGAATTTTCCCCTCAAAACCAGGCAACGAAGGTAGAGACCAAAAAGGCCCTGAATGAATTTGGACACTTTATTAAGACAAACTTCCCTGAGAGCCAGCATGGTTGGACAGAGAATGCTGTCTGTCTCTTCATTTCTTAGGCTCCTAGCTGGCTAGCTGCTGATGCAAGTGTGACAGGCAACCTGTACCCCCCAAGGAGCAGAAACCAAAGGGCACATTCTCACTGGTTACAAAGCCAAGCTCTCAATACATAAAACAAAACAAATGGAGAGTCTCATTTTATAGTTTTTCATCCTTATGACGAAGGAAAACATGACTGTATCTGGGAGGCCAAGAATCAGTAACCACAGATGTTGATTACCAAAATAAAATTCACAAGAGTCATGATTCAAGATCTAGTTTCACCAATGTTTTTCTCCTGCCGCTGTGAATTTGGAAAGGGACAAAGAGAAATCTTTATCCTCCTCTCTTGACAATGCGCTACAGACAGAGAGTTGGGAGACTGACATGGTAAGATTTCTCACCTTCTGCTGGTCTGCTGTCAGTTATCCTATATCTCAACTGCAGTCTCCAGGGACAATGGAGTGTTCCAGCTTTTCACTGTCCCATCCTCATCACTAGAAACTGTACAGGAGGAAACATTTATTTCCTTTTACACTTTTCAGTTTTTCGCTGGGGCTCTGTAACCCAAGACAGATTAACAAGAGAAAAGCAAACAAGTATATTAACATATACATCTCATGTATACTTGTAAGAAATGCAGGGATGACTAACTCAAGGAAGAAGCTAGAATTTGGATTTACAGATTATCTTAACCAAAGAACAATATATTTTTCAGTGAGCAACAAGACAGAGGAATAGAGTACTAGGCTTCCATGAGTGGCAAATTGTGGGACAATAAACACATTAGAAGATAACGGAAGATAATAGCTAGTCAGTAAAGGCTGTTTTGCAGAATCCTCAGGTGTTGTCTCCGGGCTGATAGGTGTCTAGAGTTTTAAGTGATTAATTTCTACACAAATTTATGTTTTACTTTCAGGAAAATAGAGGGAGGAAGAGGACTTTCCTTGAATCTGCTTCTTCTCAACTGCCTTCAGCTCAAAATAATCTTTGTGCCAAAGGTGAAGATTTTGGGGTGGCATAATTCTGTTACTCTTTTGTAGGTTTTACTATACTGTTTTCTCACTTTACAATGACTATGTTCTAACATGAAAAAGTGAAGTAAGACATTGTCAGAAAGGATTTAGGAATGTTCACACGAGGCTTACTTATAACAGTAGAATATTGATTTACAAATTAAGAATTGAGAAACAACCAAAAGAGTCAGCATAGGAATCTGTGATCAATGTGGTGTTTTGCTATATACCTATCAGAACAACAGGCCGTGTGTCACATTCTTTGTGAAAAATGTACATAAAATAATTTTAAGTGAAAAAGATGAAGACAACATAATGAAAGCACATAAAAAACTTAATGCAAATGAATGTTAATCAAAGATGGGAGCACATTTTCAATTGTGTAATATGTTCATTCAGGTTCTTCTTTATAGTGGCTCAAATTCATAATAAAACAGGAGGAAGTTCCTCTTTGGGCAATAGGACTAATCCCAGTTCTTTCTGAGCAATGTCTTCAAGCAATATCATTTCATTATTTTCTCGCAATTAACTCTTAGGACATCAAAATACCCTTCTGAAAACATACAGAACAAACCTTTTAGTGTAAGTGATGCAATAAACATTCCCTGCTTTCCATGTGTCTCCAAGGGTGGAGCTCCCAAACTGGTCAGAGAAGGGGGAAGTGAAAAGATGTTAAATACCAAGCCCAGCTCAGCCTGGTCAGCTTGGACATTTGGCTTCTGTCAACATGAAGGCTCTTCTTATTCTGGGGCTTCTCCTCCTTTCCGTTGCTGTCCAGGGCAAGAAATTTGAGAGATGTGAGCTTGCCAGAACTCTGAAGAAATTTGGATTGGCTGGCTACAAGGGAATCAGCCTGGCAAACTGTAAGTTAACTATTCTTCATCCTTCCAAGTAGTTAGCCAGCTGTGGAACAGATACTAATAGAGGAAGAAGAATAAGAAAGGGACTTTGAGTGAATGGCTTTTTTTTTTCTTTCTTTGAAGGGTTTGTACATTTACAATGGTTCAAAAACATCAGCTCAGAATCAGATGTACCAAGGGAAGGATTGAGGCATGGGAGGGTCAAATCCTATACCATCCTAAGCATGCCAGATCTTGCTTTACTCCTCTGGTGCCACTAAATTTGCCAGCTGGCACTTGTAGGGTGACTGCAAGATATATTTCAGCCCTCAGCCATTTCCAGCTTGGAATTTGGGTTCTGCAAGCCTGACTAAGGCAGTATTTTTGTCATTTTTAATCCCCCTACAAAGATGCTGGGTTTTTAATAGCCAAATTTTTTTAAAAATTACATTGAACTCTTAAAACAGGGACTGTAGGAACCTATTTCTCCTCAATCAATATCTACATAAGGATTCCTGAAATGTAGCATGAAATAGCATTCTATTATTCTGACTCTAGTTCATTAATTATTTTTCATTTTCTTCCACAGAATTCAAGATGTGCCCTAAGGAAAAGTTCCTTTGTATTTCAGTCCATACCTGTCAATGTCAACATTGTATTTTTCAGAGTGAATTCAGACATTTCCCCTCCATAACTATTTTTTAATAAATGAGCAAATGGCTAGATGGATGGATGGATGACATAGTCTTTCCTATCCTATGATTCTTATTGTCTGGATTCTAATTTGATATCCAAATTCACCTTTAGGTATCATAAGATTCTCTTAGTAAACCCTTATTTTTCCTAGTATAAGTATTTTTACATTAGCATATGCATCTGCCACTAGTGACCAAACCCAGTTAACCACTCTGTTGTTTTTTCCATTCTAGGCTCAATATTACCTGAGGGATGGGAGCGGGGGAAGGGTAATAGTAATAGAAGACACAGCTATTTTAATATTTTTGCAATATGTTATCTTACTTCATTAGTATTTTCAAATGATTTGCTAACAAAAGAATTCTCTTAAGGGCCCTTAACACCAAGTGTTAAAATATTTACAAGCTAAATATATCTTTATGCTTCTAAAATAAGTCATTAGTAAAATAGAATTGTGCTATGAAATATAAGTCATATGATGTTCCTATTTATTACTAAAAATACATTTTTTTTCAGGGATGTGCTTGACCTATGGAGAAAGCCGTTATAACACACAAGTTAAAAACTACAATCCTGGAAGCAAAAGCACTGATTATGGGCTATTTCAGATCAACAGCAAATGGTGGTGTAATGATGGCAAAACCCCAAAAGCAGTTAATGGCTGTGGTGTATCCTGCAGTGGTAAGATAAGATAATGTTGAGTGATGGCACAGGCCCCATTTGGTGGTACCTATAAGAAGAGAGATTTAATACAAATGAAAAGGTCTTGAAGAGTTCATGAGGGACCAGAAAAACTCCATCTTAACTTCTAGAAACTGCTTTAGCATCTACCTCATAATTCCTTAAGTAAGAAATTAAAAAGCTGGTATCATATAAGGTTGCTGTTTGCCAACATACAAGAGTTGGAATGATCTATCACTGTATTATAACTGGACATGTTGATGCTTTGTAAAGAACAATGCCATTCCTACTAATTTTCCTGGTTTGGGAGAGGTTTAGGGATAATTTGGTTGTGTGGACTTTTTTAAAATTTTGTCATATTTACTTCTTTTATGTATATATTTTACAGTAGGGGTTTTTTTTGCTGAGTGATTTTAAAGTGAATTAGAAACATTATCACATTTCATTCCTAAATTCTTTAGTTTGCATATCTAAAAAATACACCTCCTATTTAATCACTGTCATTCTAAAAAGTTAATATATGGATTTGTTTTTAATTGGGGTAAAACAAATATTCTATTGAGTTCCTTTTAAAACTGAGAAAACATATGCAATATTTAGGGCTTCCCAGGTGGGGCTAGTAGTAAAGGACCCTCTGGACAGTTCAGGAGACATGAGATATAGGTTCAATCTCCGGGTTGGGAAGATCCTCCAAAGGAGGGCATGGCAACCCACTCCAGTATTCTTGACTAGAGAATCAACATGCACAGAGGAGCCTGGAGGGCTGCAGTCCATGGGGTCACAAAGAGTCACACATGCACGTGTGCACATGCAATATTTATTGCATAAAATATTGGAGAAATATTGATAATTTGATATTGTTTAATTTTTAATATTAAAATTCCTAGTAAAGAAGATTAGCTTCTGGACATATCTTTTATATACAGTTAGTTTAGTTTAAAAATTATTTTGTATTATACAATAATCTGTGGTCATTGAATAAGAGTTCTACTACCCAGAGACTTATGACCATGGTAACTTGTGGTATCCACATCTCCTTTCAGAATACACATCACTCACGTACATGGATGTAAAGCTATATAATTCACATTTGTACCCACATACAAACATGTAAGCAATATGCTTCAACAAAAATGAAACTGTACTATATTTCCTACTTTACAATTTGCTCATTATTGCACAATATCATTTTTCTCAACAAATACCAATCTTATTAATTTTTCTGGATGAATAGAATTTCACTAAATATTCTAAAATTTATTAATCCAACTCTTGTATTAATGCATACGTCTTGGGTACATCGCTTATTAATTTTCTTTTTTTGGAATAAATTTTCACTAGTAGAACTGCTGAGCAAAAAACTGCTAGACTGGTTTTGGCTTGTTTGTTTTTGTTTTGTTTTCAAAGTGTCCAGTGAAAAGAGAACCTTCTATCATATTAGTTAATAGTTTCAGAGCTTCCAATGGCTTTGGCAAATGAGAAACAGAATGCTTTATTTCATGCCAAATGGGATAGAATGGAGAGAGAGAGTTTTCTCCCAATATTCACAGATACAGGGACTCTTAAAAAAATAATTTTAGTTGTTCTTTCCTCAGCCTAAGAGAATAAAGCTGGCTGAACCTAAAATTTACGTGAAATTTCTGTGAACATTGTCCTCATTTCTCACCACCTCTTTTCCAGCTTTGCTGAAAGATGACATCACTCAAGCTGTAGCATGTGCGAAGAAGATTGTCAGTCAGCAAGGCATTACAGCATGGTATGTTATTTTTTTGTTTTTGTGTTCCATACGGTGTTGTCAAGATGTAATTGACACACAGTACTTCATAAATTTAAGGTGTACTGCATAATGACTTACATACATCATGAAATGTTTATCACAGTAAGTTTAGTGAACATCCATGATCTCAATGGATACAAAATTAAAGAAACACAATGCAATACTGTTAAGCAATTATCCTTCATTTAAAAATAAAAATTAAAAAAAATTAAAGAAACAAGAAAAAAATTTTGTGATGAAAAATCTTGTGATGTACTCTCTATTTTCATATGGAAGACACAGCAGTGTTAATTATACTCATCATGTTGTACATCACATCTCCAGTGTTTACTTATCTTATAATTGGAAGTTTGTAGTACTTTCCACAGCTTTCATCCAATTCCCCACCCTTCACCCCACCCACAATACCCACAATTGGTAACCACAATTTCTGAGTTTGTTTGTGTTTCAAGTATAATGGACCTTCAACACTATGTAAGTTCCCTTCACAGAGCAAGGTATGGGTTAAGCATTAAAGGAGAGATCTGGGGACTTCCCTAGTGGTTAAGATTCTATGCTTTCAATGCAGGAGGAGGGGGTCTGGTACCTGGTTGGGGAACTAAGATTCCACAGGCCATGTTGTGTGGCCAAAAAAAGGTGTGTGTGGGAGGGTAGGGAGCAGTTTTATCCTCCTGTTATGAGAAAAGTGTGGGAATATTCTCTAAGACCAAGAGAATTGAAAATCTAAAAAATTAAGATTTATGCTAAACAGTGTATTACATAGAAACAATCTACTTTAACCTGAATTTATTTTAAGGACTTCCAGAGTTTTTAAGTTTTTCCACACTCTACCAGTTCCTTGCCATATCTTGAAATTATTTTTGAAAGTAAGTAAATATGGAATAAGCTTTGCAGTTATTTTGTGGACTATACAAGACTCAACATTTGTGTTCAGCATTCTGTGCTCTAGTGAAGCCTTGGGGAGAGTAAAGTCCTTGGTATACATATTTCCAGTTAACAAATAAGCAATACTTGGATCTGTCTGTATCTTGTATTTCATGTACTGATTAACTATTTTGTTCTCACAAAGGATTTGAAGTATCTATAAGACAATGAAGATATGTTTCAAACTTCTTATCATTTGTTTCATTTTTCTCCATAGGGTGGCATGGAAAAACAACTGTAAAAACCGAGATCTCACGAATTATGTTAAGGGTTGTGGAGTGTAACTGTGGAATGGAGTTTTCATCTTCAGCTCATTTTGTCTCTTTTTCATATTAACGAAGTAATAGTTGAGTAAAAGGCTATATTACCACTCTTCCAAACAAATAATGTTTTTACAGAAGCAGGAGCATGTGGTCTTTCTTCTAAGAGGCTTGATGTTTACCTCACATGTTTATTGTTTGACATTAGGCCTACAACATTTTTCAGCTTGCTAACAGAACTAATGCTGGTGAATATTTGTCTAAAATCTTCATTGTCAAATGTATCTCTAATAAATTTAGTTCTTAATCAAAGGGATAACCCAGACTTAATCTTGAATGATATAAGTACTCCCCAATATTCAACAAAAATATAACAAAAGAATGTCTTTAAGCAAATTGATCTTAGGCAAAGTCCCACCTGTGTAGGCATGTGAACTCTCATCTGTTCAGTCAAAAAGAGCAGAACGTCAAATGGCTAAAAATGAAAACAGCCCAATCAAGAATTTTGTTTTCATAAGTGTGACCTTTGGTTTAAATGTTTTAGTAGAAATGCTGCATTTACACAGCTTTTTAAAAATAAACTCACAATTTATACATCAGCCTATTTTAGCCTTTGCAAAGAACTCACTTATGCATCCTGCTGATCCTGAAGGAATATAAAGAAGGATTAGATGAGCTGTTGATTTTCCTCAGTTTCATTAGCTTGAATTCATGCATTATGACTAAATTCAGAGGCAGATAAGTTTACAAGCATTGAATTAATTGCTATTAAACCGATGTGAAATGATGCATGTTGTAAAAGAAAAACAAACATTTTCATTAAAGGCTTTGCAATTCATACTTTGTCTTCATTTGTTTAGAGCCATTTAATGTCTCTGAAGAAATATGTATGTATTGGGAAATAATGATCTGACACTTATTATTTCCTACATCCTCACCTGTACTGAAACAGGTGGATACTGCTAGAGAAATCCATAAGCATGCTGGTATCTCACTTAATGTTTTAAATTTTTAATGTTTTTTGGCTGTGCCACACAGCTTCTGGGACCTTAGTTCCCCAAGAGGGCTTGAATTCTTACTCTAAACAGTGAAAGCATGGAGTCCTAAGCATGCGACCCCCAAGGATTTCCCCTCACTTAAAATTCATAAATACAGATCTCAAGTGGGCCCTCAAGTCTACCTGGTCATCGTAGTCACTTCTCTGAAATCCTTCTGTGTTGGTGTCCTCACTCTCCAAAATGACTGTCACTATTTACTTCTCTCTTTTCAAAGTCCCAGCACACATACCAACCACTGGCCTTCCATACTGTGCTCTCAGCAGATAACCTTACAGTCTGTCTTACAGTCTTAAGTCATCTGTCAGATGTTATTACACCGACAGAACAGAAGGAACCTCATACAAAATCCTCCCCTCCTGGCCAGCAAAGCAGCGCTAACATCTTTCCCTGGCCCACCCCCCTCCTTCCCCTTTATCACTGGGATGAAGGGCCTCTGCTCCTCAACTGGCCGTGTCTCCAAATGCAGTCCTCCTCACAGCCCCCTCACTGCTCCAGTTTAGGCTGAGGGTTTCCGGCATCCCGAGCTTCTCCCTCTGTGCTGGATCATCCCCATCACTGCATGAGCTGCTCTCGGCAGGCTCCACACAACCCTCTGACTGCTGCGGCCAGTGCAGCAGGTAGGGATCGAAAGTGGTCGACGCACAGTTTGGGAAAAAGAGACTAGAGTCAGAGTTAAAGTCTTAAAGATGGGACAGGGGGACTCAAGGCCTCTTAGATCAAGAGCCCTGTTCTTCCGAGCCACATCACTTTTATTTAGTGTCTTGGCAAGCAGAAAGTATCTGTTGTGAGATGATGAAGTCAGCCTCCTGTGTTCCTGGTCATGTCTTCCATTTTATAGATTACTTTAAACTATCTTTTTTTTTTTTTTTAAGAAGTTAATCTTTTACTTTTTTTTTTCATTTATTTTTATTAGTTGGAGGCTAATTACTTTACAATATTGTAGTGGTTTTTGCCATACATTGACATGAGTCAGTCATGGATTTACATGTGTTCCCCACGCTGAATCCCCCTCCCAGTGATTAATTTTTAAGGCCACATTGGCTGTCCCATTTTGGTGACCTAGGAACAACAGTAAGTAGGAAACTATTTTGGAAATCATGTAATATTAATATGTTAGAAAGCTCCTAAAAATGGACACCATACTTGTGTCTAATGCAGATACATGCTTGTGCCTACTGTAGAATGATAACTAGCCACTCTACCTACTTTTTAATCTGTCTGCCCTGATGGATTGTTAATTTTTTCCCCTGATGGGCTATTAACTTTTACTTTGTCACTTTATGTTTTGTGTTGCAATCTTTATAAGCATTATGGAGGGTGTACAAAGCTCTCTCTGTGGTCTGAAACTGCTGCCAGAGGACCTCTGTGGGGTTCGAGATGGCATCTCTAGTTGTGCCAGGCATCATTCGACTTTCCCCTACCTCTTACCCCAGGGCCCATGCTGTAAGGAAGGGCCTGGGGATAGATTAGAAAAAAGAATGGAGGGAAAGTCTAACTCTTTGCAACTCCATGGACTGCAGGGCACCAGGCTTCCCTGTCCTTCACTATCTCCCAGAGTTTACTCAAACTCACGTCCATTGAGTCAATGATGCTATCCAACCATGTCATCATCTGCCACCCCCTTCTCCTGCCCTCAATCTTTCCCAGCATCAGGGTCTTTTCCAATGAGTCAGCTCTTCATATCAGGTGGCCAAAGTATTGGAGCTTCAGCATCAGTCCTTCCAATGAATATTCAGGGTTGATTTCCTTTAGGATTGACTGGTTTGATCTCCTTGCTGTCCAAGGGGCTCTCAAGAGTCCTCTTGAGCACCACAATTTGAAAGCATCAATTCTTTGGTGCTCAGCCTTCTTTATGGTCCAACTCTCACATCTGTACATGACTACTGGAAAAATCACAGCACTGACTATATGCACTTTTGCCTGCAAAGTAATGTCTCTGCTTTTTAAGACACTGTCTAGGTTTGTTATAGTTTTTCTTCCAAGGAACAATTGTCTTTTAATTTCATGGCTACAGTCATTGTCCGCTGTGATTCTGGAGCCCAAGAAAATAAAATCTGTCACTGCTTCCACTTTTTCTCCTTCTATTTACCATGAAGTGATGAGATCAGATGCCATGAAATTGTTTTTTGAATGTTGAGTTTTAAGCTAGCTTTTTCACCCTCCTCTTTCACCCTCATCAAGAGCTCTTTAGTTACTCTTCACTTCCTGCCATGTGAGTGGTATCATCTGCATATGTGAGGCTGTTGATATCTGTCCCAGCAATCTTGCTTCTAGATTGTGCCTCATCCAGCCTGGCATTTCGCATGATGTACTCTGCACAGACAATATACAGTCTAGATGTGGCTGTACCAATCAACACTGCACAAAGGTTTCCTTTTGTCTACATCCTTGCCAACCTTGTTATTTCTTGTGTTTTTGATAGTAGACTTTCTAACCAATATGAAGTGATATTGCATTGTGTTTTTGATTCACATTTCCTTGATGATTAGTGATATTAAGCATGTTTGTGTATCTGTTGGCCATCTCCATGTCTTCTTTAAAAAGATATCTATTTTACTCTTCTGCTCAGTTTTAATTGAATTTTATGCCTTTTTTTTTTTTTTGCCACTGAGTTGCATGCATTTATGTACTTTTGATAAAAACAAAAATATATTTTGGACTTATCAGATACATAATTTGCAAATATTTTCTCCCATTCAGTAAGCTGCCTTTCCATTTTATTGATGGTTTCCTTTGACCTGCAGAGGTTTTTTAGTTATTGGTTAGTGGACTTTTTTTTACTGATGTGCAGGAGCTGTTTATGTGTCAAAGAAAAAAGTCATGTGGGATATGAATACACTATTTCTTCATGGTATATCTGTCTATAGACTTTGCTGACAATGCTTTTTTAGTATGTGGGAATTTTTATCTTCCTGTTTCCCCTCAATGCCCCCCTCCCCCATATCAATTAAAAGCATATGCCGAGTAAAGACACATTGTCAGATGCTGGGTGGGATTTAGCAGGTACAGCAGAGATAGCAGACAGATAAGAAGGAAAAATGCATTATAGTGTCATGAGGTAATCAGGGAGCTAAGAGAGCAGATAGGATTCATACCAAAGCGCAAATGGTGTGTGTATCCATTAAGGAAGGCTTCTTGGCAGTAGTAAAATCTGAACTGAGTTTTAAAGAATAAGAAAGAAATTGGATGAAGTGGACATAGCAGGCCTTGGAAATAGTACAGAAAGATTTGGGAAACAACAAGGACTGCCTGAGTGTAACAGGTAGTTTTAAATCTAGTCAGGAAGACCTGATTTTAACTCATTTGTCAGAGGATTGCATTCACTACATATATGGATTTTTGCTGTTTGATTTAGTCACTACACTTTATTTTCAACAAATCAGAAGATTCTAAAGGGTACCATATATTGGAAGAACTGGGTTAAATAGCAATGAAATCCTAGGGGAAAACATTTAAAAACTTCTTTTAGCCTATTTTAGTTTTCTGCTTCTGTAGATTAAATGCTTACATACATATATATGTATGTATATATGTGTATATGTTTATAAATATATATAAAAGTTTCAAATTTCCAAATGAAGCCTCAATCTACAGTAAATCAAAGAAGAATTGTTATTTTTGCAATGTTAATGTAACTTACAATGTAACTGGACTGTAAGGCTTTTTAAAAAGAGATACAACTCTGTATGTTGGTTAAGAGTCTAGACTCTATATGGATTTAAATCCTGGCTCTGCTGAGTAACTTGAGGCAAGATATCAAATCTCTCTATGCAAAATGGGGCTGACAGTACCTTCCTCCAAGGGTTGTTAAAGGTATTCAACAAGTTAAGAAATGTAAAAGCACTTATTTAGTACAGGTAAGCTCTCATTAAGCATTCCCTATCACTTTAGTTATTCCTTGTGAAGCAATTTCAAATAAACCTAGATAATTGGTGCTTAAGTAGATTTCCACAGGTCTACCAATAAAAATACCTTTACAGACTTTTAATGTTGCTTTATAATGAGCAATCTGCATCCTGACTATTGCTCTATCTAAAAATATTACAATGTTTTCAGAACCTAAGTTCTGAGGACTGCCCAGGAGTCCTGGCTCTATCATTAACTCATGTTAACATCTACAGGCTTCTGATCAACCTAAGCCTCAGTTTCCTTTGCTAAATGGATAACCTAATAAAATTATTATAGATGTAAATGAGTTTATACATGTACAGATTTAGATGATGCCAAACAGTAAGCACTCAATAAATCTGATATTATTATCAAATATTGAGTATAATGCTTTCATACAGGCAAAAGTGCACCTATCTTTTTTAGACCATTAATTAACATTCCCAAATTGCTTTCCCAAAAGGTCTACTCACAAACAATTCATGAGAACACAGGTTTCACCACATCCTTAACCAGCACAACTATGAAACATTTCTTTGCTTATCTGATACAAATATAACCACCCATTATTATCTGTTTTGCATTTTAAGAATTACTAGCAAGGTCAAGTACTATCCCTTTCTATTTACTAGCCAGCTCTTCTTTCATTTGTCTGTCCATGTCTTTTGTCCATTTATCAACTGCAGTTTAAAACTTGATTCTATTTTTTTTATTTTTTGTTTTAAAGATATTAATCCTTTCTCATATTTTCTACAAATTTCTTTCTTTCTTTTTTTTTTTTTTTTGTCCTTTTGAAATGTGTAAGTTATACATATCTTGCAAAAATTTTTTCTGGTTTTTCTTTCAATATAATTTCTTCTAACACCTCAAATTTAGAAAGTCTGCCCCAGCC